ATTTTAAAGTCACTTAAAATTTTTTTTAACGTAAAATAATTCCTCTGATTATTTTGCGTACAAAAGTAATGGAGTAAAAAGTGAATATTTTCCGAAATATTTTACATCTTATGACCTTGACAAAAATGAAAGAATACATGGAAACTTATAGGAAAGACTAACGGAGGTGTATGTGCAACGTTTATAAGGAATTACGGAGGAGTGTAGTGAAAATGTTATTAGATATACGAAAAGTGCATTGAAAAATGTAGATGTGAGTAGTGTGTGTAGTGTAGAGTGCAGTAAAACGATGTACGCATAAAGTTGTCGTCACACGATGTACAATTTCGACTTCTGACAGGTATGCTGACCGATACTCTGTAACAAACTCAATTCATTGCATGCATCATTATTGTGTATTGATTTGTGCGATGAACTGAGTTGTTTGCAGTATATCAAGTAGCATATCTTTGATATATTAAATTTAGACGTTACAGCAGAAAATATTCACTACATAGGTACTATAATAAATAATAAAATTGTGTGAATTCAATAATAAAAAAATAATAAAATCCTATTTATCCTTATACTAGAAATTTATAACTTTTTTCTTTAATTGCAGTTGTTTTTATACTTCATACTGTCAGTTCATTTTGTTTAAAAGTAGTTATTTAATCGATTAGATGTTATAGTCACATTTGAAAAAAACGCTTATTATTGATAGGGTTTGAAACCGGGTCTTTAAATTGTGAATAATCTATCTTACCCACTATATTACTTTTTATATTGAGAGATATGTTATATTTTGTCTACACGTGCATAGACACACCACACTTGGATAACTACACTTGGAATTACAGAGAATAACGAAGAAGGTGTATATAGAATTTTTTGGAAAGTAACGTAATAGTTGAAAAAAAGTGCACGGCAGAAAAGAATATCAAAAAATAATGAATAGAAGATATTTTTTGGATCGATAAGATAGATAAAACAAGGATTTCCGAACACTACTGTTATGAAAGAAAGGGGAACAGTGGCAGAAAGCATGGAAAAAGTGTGTAAAAATATAAAGGAATATGAAAAAAATAATACAAAGGTATCAAAATGTTTCGAAACGAAGTGGAAAAATATTAGTACTTCCATCATTTTCTTTTTACTTCTTTTTGCACTCTTTATTTTCGCCAGGAGATACAAGTTTTCAGTATAAAATATAAAATCTTGTGAACTATTCACTTTTTTACCTAATCTTTTTCACAACGTTACCTAAATACTTTTGTACATAGAATAACAAGATCAATCGGTGATATTAATGCGCATTGATATGTCAATAAATCTGCAAAATACAACGGAATTTTGTTTAAGCTTTTTCTGTCTTTTTTTATAACGATAAATTTTAGCCGTTATTGTATGTGCAGAAATATTAAGGTGAAGTTATCGAAGAGCAAATATTTTACGAGATATTTAATATCTTGTATTATAAAAACAGAATAAAATGGAAAATATCTCGGAAAGTATTTACTTCTTGATAATTTTATTATTCTTATATTTTTATATGCAGATAAGAGGAATTTATTTATGTTAGAAAAGCTATTATAATTCTATTAAAAAAAATTGAAAGCGACCCTGAAGTCTTTCAGATGTATTTAGTCACAAAATAATCATAAAATCCACTCACAGATGAATAATTATCATTGCGTAACGTCTCTTCCGAAACGATAAAATTTTTGTAAGCGCTATATTCTTATATTGTCTAAAATAACGGACATATTCGAAGCGATGATAGTGATTGCCTTACTCCGTATATTAAATACGAAGATGCGAACTTTAATTGTGTGTTGGGACACTCTTGCTTCTTTGCTTGCATGCCACTTTCTCCGCCGCGACGAACCGAAACTTACCGTCGTTAATTGGATATGAATGTTTCATCTCGCGCGTAATTTCTCGCTTGCCATTCACCTATAATCAATACACGTAATAGCAGGACGATCGCGGAAAATTGTGATTTATCGCGGCCTGATGAGCAGGCGGATTATGGTTAGAGATGATGTAAATCCAGACGATCGGGGTCGGCTATCGAATAACATTGTTGTTAACGGTCAAGTATTCAGAGCGGAATAAGTCCGTGATTTGCACGTACACTTTAATCATGAAGTCGTATTTAGCTATAAAAGCGTGACGATAACACGCTTTCGATCAATGTAATGTGTGAATAGAGCGAAATATTGAGTAAACAGTATATAAATATTGCAAACATAAAATATCCAAATAAACTTTCATGATTATCATGACAATCACGACGTGAAGAAACTGATAATGGATAACTCCACAATTTTTTATTTATATTTATAAGACAAATGCATAGTGAAAAATTTACTAAAAAGAAAAATGATTTTTTAATTTTAGTAAATCATTCAATTGCATATAATTATGTAGGATATCAGAAGGCCGAAATCGACATTTAGTATAAAACACAGGCGTATATTTTAATTAAAGAAACAGTATGATATAATACATGAATCGCGAATCACCCAGCAACATCTTATTCATTCTGAGTCTCTTTTCTTTCTGTCTTTTGTTTCGCGAGGGCCCTGCGAGTGCGTTGCGTTACAAGCGCGCCAACTGCCGCGTTACTTTTGTTCCCACATTCGGCCCCGATGACTAAAAGATTATTTGCATCCTTGGAATCTAAACCATCGTCGTCTTCGCTGCCATCGTTGTTTGTGGGTAAGTCAATCTCTGGATCCCAGCCTCGGTGCTGCGGCCAAGGTTTTACATAATCGACTGATGTACTAGTAGTATCTTTATTCCGATTTGCTTGTTCTACCTGATACTGCATCAATTTCTGTCTCACCAATTCTTTAGTCGTTGTCGCACTGTACGGAATGGATTTTTTTGATTTTATCGTATTTAATGCCATTTATAATATATTGGATCTTGGATTCTAGTTCCATTTCGCTATAACTGGCTAGCTGCCGAACCCGATACATGTATTCCTCATACATTTCACTCGATCGTTTTGATATGGTACTGAGCATCTTGTGTACTTGCTGATTATTCGTTTAATATTCAAACTCGCCAATGAGTGCACATTTTAACTCCTCCCACGACTGTGCAATGCACTTATCATTAGCGAAACGTTTAGCCGATCCATATAATAATTTTTTGAGATACACAATTCTATGCCACTCACACCACCCGCATTGCTTCGCTATCTTTTCAAATGACGCACAGTGGGACAGAATCCCGAAAACGTGGCTAAAATATGAAGTCGTTGTCCGATTTTTGTAAAAATTGGTATATAAATGTTTTCGACGTCGCTGATTACGAATCTGAAGTGCAAATTTCAAAAAACAAAATGGCGTATCCAATATGGCCGAAGTAAATGAAAAAAAATGTGTTACTTAGGCTAAAATTTATACCCTGCTTTCTTAATAATTGTTAATTACAAATGCGAAATAAAAAATAAAGAAAATAAATACTGAGAATGTAATAAAAATTATAATATTTAAACAGAAACTCGTTATAAATAATATTACGCTTTTTCTTATAATAAAAGATCTAAGAACTTAATAAAAGAAATGAAATAAAAGTAAAAAAGTAAGATATTTATTAAAATATAATTTGACAACGCATATATAGTGAAACAATATAAATATAGTCCAATAATAAAATTAAAAATAATTAGATTTAATTAATAATTATTCAGAGTCTGTTGAATCATCAGTATCTATGTCAGATGATTTTATTGTAGAAATGTTGAAGCTTTCATCAGTTATCTCAATAGTTGGCGGAATTATTAATTGCACTGCTTCTGATGACAACGATTTTAATTTTTTGGTAGGTAATTTTCGTAAGCTTGAAATAAATGGATCTGATGCCACTAACAGCCGTAAAAAAACATCTTCCATAGTTTTTGTACGAGTACATTTTCGTGAGAAGTCTTCTCGAAACATTTTAATATATTTGTTGCAAACTTTACCATCTATCATTGTTAGGGCAAGATTATAAGATACGTTTATTTCTTTTCCGTCTATAACCGTTTGAAAAGCGACAAGTTTACTCTCTTGTTCTTTAATGTTATCTGTCTCGTTCACGGTGGCTTCGGTATTTTCTTGCAAAAATTGAATCCTTATGGGCCGACAAAATCGAGGAGATGAAGGTCTTTGATTTTTCCATACAATAATTTCTGCATTTGTCATTTGATCAACAGATACAAGCTGTAGTGGCACAAGCGAAGTGAAAAAAATGCTCGAATCTGATTTGCTTCCGTCATCATCACTAAATTTTTGCTTGTACATACTCTGGCCAGAGCTACCATCAAGACCCCACTTGCAAATTAACTTTAAGTTGCGAACGTTTTTTGAAGTCAAGCTCTTTATAACGTCCATTTGAACCAATAAAATTCTTCGAACTGTGTGATCCAATAAATACTGTAATTTGACTTCGGCACTGCATTCAGTTATGATCATGCCTGATCTCAGCGGATAACATTTACTTTTAGCTTCTGATACTGTGTGATATGACGGAAATAATTTACAATTGTTTTCTTTGCTTACAGCTCGTAGTCCCAGATACTGACTTTTTGATAATTTCTGCTCAATTATAAGCGAAAGAGCAGAATCAGCGGAAAGAATGCTTCCTGGAGTAAATTCTAAAGACTTTCTGTATTTTCGGGCTTTCGATGGACTGCCCAATGTCACATCCGAAACAACTTTTGCGGCATCTAATTTTTTG